TACAGTTGATGGTTAAAGTTAGGCATTACATTGAGGGTTTTCATCACGAACTGACATTAGCTATAAAATGTCAAAACTCTATTTATCTAAATGGATGAATGAATTTCGCGCCAAAAATCCGACAGCTGTTTTCTTATACCTGATTGGTTCATTCACAAATTATAGCCTCTCCGAGTTACAAATAATGTTTGTCATTCATTTGATGTTGACAGTGAGATTAAAAGATGAATTACATAATTTACCTACATAATTTTATATTTAATAATTTGATTGTTCCTCTAGAGAACAAGTTACATGGGTTGATACTTCAGACATTTAAATTCTTATGGTTATGAGTACACTTTAGTGTGATTAAGAAAAAATAGTTACGTACAAGACAGTTAGTAGCTCAATACTTCTCTGTTTAGTTCAAGCTAGTCATGAAGCAAGCCTTTTCAATAGACTGTCAGGTCAATAATAGTTTGGTGCCCCATTGGTCAGACTACGATTTTTAAAAAAAAAACAAATGAGTATGCGATGAATGTAAATCTTCCACTTTAACTCTGTATTTCACATCTAGCCTAGTCCCGTTTGTACGACGGCGGAAATAACAAGCCGATTACGGATTAAGTTGGGTAAATTTATTTCAGATAGACATTGAGAATGAGAAGAGGGAAAGAAAAGCGGAGAAACAAACCAGAGGAGGAAAGTGTGCCAACTGCATTTGATAGAGCTTAATCCACTATTTATAGCCAGATAAAAGTTAGCTATCAATATATGGTGAATAGAATAAACGATAGACACACATACGTTCATATAAAACCATTCAATGCTAAGAAGGGAATACTTGACAAGGTCATCACTTTTGGCCTCACATGCATACGCTTCATCTCTAGACCACTGAGTCAGGATTTAATGGCGTTAGTGTCTAATTCAAATGAATTCACGATACCGCGAAACCCTCATCCATATATATTTATTTTAAACTTAACCATTCTTAAGGGAAATTAATCTGGATAAAAAACTGTAGACCTAGTCGAGAATGTATCGAAACGAATATTCTTCATCCGTATGTCAATATTTTGAATGTGAAAATGTTAGGGAAGTACTATATGTAATCTCATATGAATAATTGATTAGTATAGTCGGTTGGTGAACTTAACAACATTCAGCCATCTCTAAGACCACTATACTGATAGTCATCATGTGCTTACTAGTGATAACTTAGCAGTTAGGGCCTTTAGGTTACGGGTTCAAAACCTACTCCATCTAATTCAGCTTGGGCAACAGCATAGTATCATTAGCTTTCAGGCATTAAGCTCACCCCAATGCACGTGATGGATGATTTAATGATGTTACCATCATTATTAGTGAAAAGCTCCAGGAGGAAATTATTAGAGTTTTATTGAGAAACTATGACTAGTAGAATTCAGCTGTGTCACATATGAGAAAGCTATTAACCGAAGATAATAGAAGATGGCAGAGTACTATCACTAACTGATCAATGTAGGACATGTACATCATTAGAAATCAAGAGCTTAGTTGCGAAACTCTTTGAAGTGAGGTCGTAGAACTGCACTAATGAAGAGTCCTATACTACAATGAGATGATTGTCCTGTGCTAACAGGTTTTCAATGATTCACTAACCTAGTGAAATTCAACAAAAATATATTATCACAAGGGTTCTTGTGTATATTACAGTAACTTCAATGGTTGAGATCATGAGTCAATTGAAAGCAGACCACCGTGAAAAACCTGGAAGACTGGACGGTCGTCTCTTCCTATTGTGGGACTCCTCAGCAGTGCATATCAACGATCCCATCTCGCGAGTTTAAAACCCAGGACCTATCAGTCTTGTGCTCGAGCGCTTAACCACTAGACCACTGAGTTAGCCAATATCCAATAGTGTTAATGTCTAACTTCAATCAATCCACGAAATTGAGCGACCGTCCAATGCTTCCGGGGTTTTCCATGGTCGTATACCTTCAATTGACTCATCATCTCAATCATAGAAATATATATGAATTCAATATTATTGTTTCAGTAATCTGTTTTTAGTTTTGTGTATCAACATTTCGCTTCTTTTTCATAATTTCACATGTTTAAACTTCGTTTATTTTCATTGACCGGAAAATATAAAATTCTCTTTAAATTATTTAATTGGAACTAATGACAATGATTATTGGTCATATTTTCTATGATTCATTTCTGCTTCTTCTAATAGAAAAACACTCATTTATACATCAATGAATGCTATGAATGTGTTGAAGTATTTCAATTATAAAGTTTAAAACTCTTCTTTTAAATATTTTAGATAATTATCAGTTAGTCAATTAGTTGGTCAGTCAGGTACAATGTAGGACCAGGTACATATGACCATCGGTTCAAGTTGTTATACCTCATTAGCACAGACAAGATGAACACCGAATTCATAGAAGTAGTTACTTCAATGATAGTAATACATAAAAAGGAAGATTGCATGTAGGGATATAGTACAAGAAGAAAGAATTAGTTCTCGGAAAGAAAGATATGAGGCGATTTGAATCTCACGGGTTAAGGGAAGACAGAGAGTGTTGTATACACCTACACCATTGTGATCGATTCTCAGCCATGTCACCCAGAGTCTGCATTTGGCAACATGGCTCAAACCAGAAGTTAGTGACTTCAAGCACTGATACCATGTTTTGGTATGGCTACCCCTAACTTTCTTTCAGCTGTTTCCAACACCAGTCAGCATTGCGCAACGTGGTAGTCGGTGTTCAGGCATACGTAACACGTGGCCAAACCATCTTAGTCGGTGGAGATTCACAACCTCATCCATTGATTTACCATCATTCCCTAATACCCTACGTCTAACCTCACTATTACGTACCCGGTGATCCCAGAAGATACGAGCAATATTTCTAACATATCTGTGATCGAATACTACTAATTTACGAGTATCGTCTACTCTTAATGGCCACGTTTCGCAGTCGTAAAGTAGAACAGGACGAACTGCCGCACAGTATACTTGTCCCTTAATTGATAGGTGGATATCTCGCTTTTGCCATATATGACATTTGAACTCATCTTTATTATTTTTCGGATTACATTCAAATGATCCGATCAGTGTGTGAGGTAGAAAACCAGATTCATCGATAGCGAAACATATAATTGAGACGGGGCACAAAATTGACATTAATAGAGCATTTAGAACGTTGTATAGAAATTGTCAAGGACTAATTCTTAAGTTTATTGAAGCCTTGGCTATTCGTAAATTTACCCCCCATTTATTTGTACAAAAACAATTTGTCGTAACCTTGAATTTACCTTGGTAATCCTTAAGTCATTCTATGGCCTAGGATAACGCGACAATTTCTTATTCTTTCTCTCCCCTTTGTTACTTTTCTACTTGAACTTTCATTTAATTGACCTCTATTAATTTTCATATAAAATGCCATGACAAGTATACATGTGTGACGAGATTGTTTGAAATGTATAACGCAAATACACCCCCGATTTCCAGATTAACTCCGTCTTCTTATTGTTCTAGAGAAATTTATAAAAGGGAACAATTGCTTTAAATTATTGAAAACTCCTAAGTGCTAGATGCCTGTTTCATCCTATAATGAAACACCTCAACAGTATGCATCCACAAATTCGCAATCGCTAATCGAATCCAAAGCCTTTAGTCCTGTGTGCAAACGCTTGAGTTTAGACTAATGATTTTATTCTGAAATGATTCGATAACTTAATAGTTGAGTCAGTTGAAGCTAGACCAACAAGGAAAACCTACAAGTACTGGAAGACCGTTTCATCCTAGTATGGGACTCCTTAGTAGCGTGTATCAACGACCCCGCCTCGCGAAATTCGAACCCAGCACTTATCAGTCTCGCATGAGAACACTTAACCTCTAGACCACTGAGCCAACCGGTATCCAACGGTGTTGATATCTAACTTCAACTAATCCACGAAGTTGCGCCACCGTCCGTCATTTTCATCAGTGAGCTACTATCTTACAACAGACGCGGTTGTACTCCACTACTCATTGGCTTCTCACTAGAATTCTAGGAAATACCTCTTGAACCCAGTCACGATAATTGTTCTATTCATATGTAAAATCAATGAATGGATAAAAGTTTCTAGTTGAAATACATTGTCTCATATTAGGGGAATATTTAGAGTGAAAAAACAATGATATGTAATCAATTTTTTTTTCGATTTACTACTTAATAACAAGATATTTATTAAGGTAACTATGCCATTTAAACAATGAAAACTATTTAAACATACAAAATTATTCACTCTTGACTAATTTTCCCTACAGATATGATTGATTATGTTTGATTTACAATAAATTGTGTTGAATTAAATGTATAAAGGTAGAATGAAAGAGAGTTGGTTGATTGGAGGGGGGCAATATTCATTTTGAATATTGTTAAGAATTACATTTTATTCAGAAATTTGTTGTGGTTACACAAATACTTTCGGATCCTTCTGGTCAGACAATATCAGCAACAACTTACTATGGGAGAGAACAAACCAGATTCGAGAGGAGGAAGAAATCAGGAAGAAGTGTTGGAAATGGATAGGACACATATTGAAGAAATTACCCAACTGCATCACAAGGCAAGCTCTCATATGGAATCCTCAAGACCAAAGGAAAAGAGAAAGACCAAAGAACACGTTATGCCGAGAAATGGAGATAGACGAATGAACAAAAATTGGATAGAACTAGAAAGGATGGCCCAGGACAGAGTTGGTTGTAGGATGCTGGTCGACGGCCCATGCTCCATTAGGAGTAACAGGCGTAAGTAAGTAAGTACACGAATATGTGTGCTGATGAATACATGCGCTTGATGTTTCCTATATACATATATGTATTTATACTAAACAACAATACGATAATATGATTGGTTGATTATATATTTAGTCGAAATTATGTAACTGACCAATCAGAATTGTTTCAACCAGAAAGTGTATTTCCTTCTTAAAATTGTTTTTTTTCTTTTTTTTTATTATTAGTTAACATGACAACTAATTGGTGGTATTTCCTATGTGATAATCTGAATAAACTACTACTGTTTTTTCCCCTCTTCTCAGAATAAATAATTGTTGAATTGTAATTTGGATTATATTATATGGAACTTTGACTATCACATTGTAATATACTTTATTTATAAAATATTATACACTTGTAAAGAAATAACTATTTCCTGAGTTGTAATTCAGTAAGTTTATATCATTAAATGTGTATTAAACCTAATTCATTGATATAACTGAATTAAGTAGTGAGTTGAATACATTCCATATATATGCGGTATCAAGTATTTCTGAACACATAATAATTTCAAATGGGGGTTTTGTGGATATTACAGTAATTTTAATAGATGTGATCATGGGTCAGTTGAAACTAGACCACCATGGAAAACCTGGAAGCAATGAGCCGTTGTTTCGTCCTATTGTGGGACTCTTCAGCAGTGCACATCCACGATCCTGGGTTCAAATCTTCCGAGGTGGGATCGTGGATGTGTACTGTTGAGGAGTCTTATATTAGGATGAAACGACTATCTAGTGCTTTCAGGTTTTCCATATTGGTCTAGCTTCAAATGACTCATGATCTTGGATGGGCCACAGTGTCACGTTCATAAAAGATATATAAAACCTCCAGTAATAATCACAGTGTTATATACATCAGTAAATAAACGGAAAAATGCTTAAAAATACCACATAGTACATACCTATTGAATGTTGAATGATGGATGTATAACGCTACATGATGATATTTATGTAGCATTATGAACACCGCCCATAGATTCTTTTAGCTTATTGATTTGATACTTAGTAACAGATCAATGTTTATTCCAATTCATGATGAGTTCTGTTAGTTTGTTCTCATTTTTGTTTTTGAATTCGTTTTAAATCAGTACTTGGTTTAAAACCAAAACATTCCATATTATATTTGTAGAGTATAATTTAATGGATAGAATTTGAATAACCCTAAGGATTAGACAAACATGTTAGTGTTTATTGCTCAGTTATTAATCATCTGGCAATACCTCTGTCCTACAGTTGGTCATTTAATGTCTAATTAGGTAACTGACAATCTATCTGAATACATAAACGAATGTTTAAGGTTAGAATTGTATTTAGACAATATGAATTACTAAGACAATTATGAATGAATATGATACTGAGGTTGAATGCTATTTAACCATTGTTTTTAACAGAAATATTTTGTAGATTACATCATCAACAGATCATAGTTAGATAACTAGTGGAACTAGAAAACATTGGATAACTATTTCATTTTAGAATAGGACTGTTCATCAATATTCATTTATGGTTTAATTTCAAAAGATCGAATCCAGGGTTTTCATGTTAGAAATAAGACGTTATTCTTAATATTTTCGATTTATGTTTGGGTTCAATATCTTATGATATCAATGACTATAAGTATCTACTGATTTTTGTACACGTGTGGAGTAAATGTTATAACTTGTGACCTGTGTACCCTGTTAATGTATACGTAATCATACCGCCAATTAGAGAACAATGACTTATTGACCGGACCAATGACGCTGAAAACCCATAAGAGCAGTCTAGAGTCCTTTTTGGTCCTGCTTCCCACCTAGCCCAGCCAGTTATGTCCAGAACACCAATATCAGCTTCTGTGATATAAATCATATATTTCAAGCATACTTGGTTTATATTACCAACTAGATAGACCACATCTTATCATAAAATGGAAAACAACATTTGTACAAGAATTAGCCAAATGTGGTTGTGAATGTGGGAGGTAGTAATTGATAGATTGGACATAACTTAAGAATGGTAAATTGTACCATAATAATCCATAGGTCAAAATATACCTTGTGACAACAGGAACACGAATATGAATAGTTTAGTTACTTAATAGTTATACGATAAAAGTATAAGCATAGTATTGGTCCATCGTTGGATCCCAAAAGTTACCATTCATTATGCTTATTGAGCCATAAGAGTAAGACACATTTATTGTACTCAATATTTACTTTCTAAGTTCATTCTTAAGTACGTTCATTATTCCATGGAAGTTATAATTATAATGTTTATTTAAATCGTATAAGATACAGAATTGATTGGTTTGATTCCTTGATTTTCGGTGAATGTAACTACTAGTATCAAAAAAATCTCCATTAACCTAAACATCCATAGGAAGATTCAAATAAACAATACAAGATGATTTTAATATTCACCTCATACCACAAGCTAATGGCTATTACGACTAAGTAGCTAAGTAGATAATGTAATCGCATTTGAATTGATCAGTAATGGGTTCGAATCAAGGAGTGAGCATCAACTGTGGAATACAGATATATATTCAGTTGACGAGTCCCAAATACAACGAAACACACGTCTTAGATTCTACTTCTAGCCTACTATCCATCTTTGTTTATGATAACAGTTAATGAGAACAAACAATGGGATAAATATGTTATTTTAATTAAAGAAATAAATAATCACTTTCTTTTTGAGAGCTTGAATATTCATCATGAAGATAGGTAGATAGATAAATTATAATTAAGAAAGGATGGCTCAAAATGACGAATTTAAATGTTGAAATTGAAATGAATTGTGATCAAGCGGTTCATAGAAACGGAAACAAATCAGTTGGAGGAGGGGGAGGGTAGTGAAACGACTATGAACAGAAGAAGATAAAAGGGAAACAAATAGCCGTGAAAAAGAACAGAACGGGAAAGAATGAAGAAGAAGAAGAGGAAGAAGAAAGAAAACGAATTACGAAAGATGAATAGCATGATAGAAGAAGAGATTGTACCAGATTTATTTATTCTTAGTTTTACTGGTTAACTTTAAAAAAATTGATCAAATACCTTCCTGGAATGTTTTATTATCTTGGTGATAAATACATTAACATTCTCTTAAAGGATAAACTTAACTGAACTCACAAATAATTATCTGAACTCAGTAACTCAGCAGATAGAACATTAAACATCCAAATTGAACTGTAATAAGTTATACTTTAGGAGAATAATACACCAATACGTCGATAAGGTAGGTATATTTAACCGACATGTCTAAAATGAGATGAAATATGAATCTTAGATTTTACTGCTAGTTACAATTCATCTATTCAGTTGAATATGATTTTATGTGTTGCCATAATATTCAGTAAATAATAGTATGACATTATCTTTATAGATGATTGAAAGTAACTATCTGGAAGCTTTAAAATTAGATTTACCCCCCCCCTCCTACCTGGCTGGAACGTTTTAATAATATATTAGGTAATTTATAAGTTAAACTGTAATTGAGTTATGTCCACGGTGAACAATATCAATCTCTTTGAGATATGTCAATTGGATGTATACTTTTATTCTAAATATCTATGAGGATACAAAGAACTAAGTTCATGAAACTATTCATATGTTCCATGTGTATGATGTTTATTCTTAAGAGTTTTGTATGAATGATAATGATGAAGTATTTAAGATAAGTATAGTGTAGTTAATAAAACGTATGTTGAAGGCTCCAAATCTTTCTTTCTACCAACTAATTCTTTCTTCCTGTACTATATTCTTATATGCAATCTTTCTTTTATATATTGCCACCTTTGATTTAACTACTCTTATAAATCCGGTGTTCATCTTGCTGTGCTAATGAGGTATGGCAACTTGGATCGATGGATATATGTGCCTGGTCCTACTCTGTAGCTGACTGACTGACTGAGTTAATTGGTAGTAGTAGTATTTATATAATTACTATCCCCCCGAAAATCGTCATGATAATTAGCTTAATATTGAGAATTGGTTGTTTGTTTAATAATCATTTTGATGAAAAAAAGTTCTACTTAAAACGAAAATTTTTGTTTTAGTGGAACACCAGTTATGCAGTACTACAAGAAACTCCTGTCTTACATTCAAGTATTCTGGCTAGTATATTTTTTTTATGGCATAGTTGTTTTCTATGGGGTAAGGTTGCTAACCCCATACCTAACCCTCCCCATTTACCCGGGCCGGAAACCGGCAGCAACCCTATATATATATATACACTCACTAATCATTATATACTACTGATATCTAAAGTCACAACAGTATTTTCGTTTCATTCAGTCAATATAAGTTACATGAATTCCAATGAATTCAATACTCCTATCTCTTTAAAAAGATGAACAAGGTTTAAAAATAGTGTACCAGTAACTATGTTGTTTGCATTTGAGTTTTATAGTGTATAACATCATCGGAATAGTTTGTAGTTAATTTTGTAATAGCAAATGAATGTATATTGTTAGCACTGAGTTGTTATACAGTTCAGGAAAAAAAACATCGAAAACGGCCAAGGGTAAGTCAAATATTTTGAGCATACAACTGTCTGATTATACTGATGCAAAGCCTGGTACACTTGAAATCATATCAAAGCTTTTTGAGTTAGATCTGGCAAGGTTTATGTTAACTTGTGAAAATGATCACATTTATATTAATCCAGAGAGGATTATCTCTATATTTTGATTTAGCTACAAGTTATTATTCTCTAAACATTTAGATAGGGACTAGTTGTGTAGTCCAATATGTGTATATTATCTTGTGTAGGACTCATCAACTCAATCTGCCCATACCAAAATTTTTGTTTTAAACATACTGAAATTCAAACCCAGTACCTTTCACTTCAAATGTCATTAAATTCTGCTTACTAGTGTGAGGATTTGTAGAGATTGAAGTATTTTAAAAGTTAAATTTATAAGCCAATCTAAACTAGACCATCATTGAAAACCTGGAAAAATTCGACGATCGTTTCGTCCTAGTATGGGATTGCTCAACGATCCTACACATGGGACTCAAACACAGGACCTTCGATCGCACGCATTAACGCTTAACCTCTACATCACTGAGCTCTCATCTAACGATATTAATACCTAACTTCAAACAACATATTATCTTGTGCAAGCCATCATCTATTGTCTGAGGTGGACAACTGTCTAACATTCAACACGGATTAGACTCCACTGGTCATAACTTCTCTTTAGAACGTGAAGGAATTCAGTCACTAGTGAGCACATGATTACTATCAGAATAGGTATTTGTGAAGATTGTAGTTTTTTCACATGTTTTGAATGGTTATCTAGCTTGGATCAGCTTATGAATCCAACATTTTACCCATCAACTCCTACTTTCTATTCTTTTCTTACGGTAAATATGTTGATTAATTTGACCCTAAACCAAATGTATATGAG